GTTACAAATTATACTTCTTTAAGATCCCAATCTTTTATCAAATGTCATTTCTTACAAAAACAAACATTTGCAAGCCAAATAAAGGATTCCTGATTAGAGAAACTCAAACCTACAATCAGTCTGTCTTTAAAACAATTTGCTATCATAAGCAATTAAAATACAAAAAGAAATTTGGTTTCAACAAAATTACATACCTACCCTTTGAGGATTGGGTCGGTGTACCTTCTAAACCCATTCAGACCCTTGAGTCAATTCCATTTTACAAACAAGTAAAAAATGACTGTCTTTTAAATCAACCCTTCACCTGCCACCAATAAAATATAAAATTCAAAATCACATATATCACAAGCTTTGTTTAGCGTGTCACAACTAGCTTATTTTTTTAGTTTTTTTTTTAAATTACCATGTTTAGCAAATCAAAAAGTAAATTGGCATTTTAAAAAGCTATTTAGACTAGTTTTTTATGAGCTTTTTTAAAATTTTCCAAATATACACTTAATTAATTATTAAAAAAAACATATTCTTTTAAATGTCTATTTATGTCATTTTATATATTTCACTTGGTTTTACCAAATGTTATTTTTTATCAACTGGATTTTCAACTATTAGTTGGGTTTTCATATAACAACTAGCTTTTCAACTATCAATTATTTTTTCAACTATCATCTAGTACGTCAAACATAGCCTAAGTCTGGAGCAAAACCATCTTCACCTCACTCGTTCAAATGACTTGAAAACAGGGCATCCGATCCACTTCTGTACGTGTTGGGATCTAATGTTTTGCTTCCTTTTATGAAGGATGTGGGGGGTTGTCACCTATCTAGCCAACGGCAAGCCATTTAACATGGTGTTTTAGAACATCCCATGCCGCCTCATCTGGAAAAGATTTTGCAAGTTGCGGTACTCACTATGTGTCGCCTTTAGCAAATCGGCATCTAATCTCGTGTTTGAATGCATGTTGCATTTGTTGTTGTAGATGCTAGGGGTGAGTACGGATAGCGGGGACCGATTTTTGGAACCAGAGATGCCTCAGAACTGTTGGTTCTAGAACTGAAACCGAGGTCATTGGTTCTGCTTCCGGTTCCAAAAAGTGGGAACCGCTAAAGACCGATTCGGTTCCAGTTTCATTTTTTAGGAACTGTTACCCCCGCCAGGCAACCGGTAGGTAACCGACTAACCACTGAACCGGTTCCGAAATCTTAAAATTTATAAACTCTTAATACTTAAACGAATTGGCCGTAACAATGTTGATGATTAAGACATTTGTTAGGACTATCTAACTGGATCTTGGAAATAACATGCTAATAAGTCATATATGAACGTTTTTTTTTCAAAACAAATGGCCTGATGTTAATGTGAATGGCTGAATTCATGACTATAAAACAATTTGAACATACATAATGGTATATCTTTTGAAAAGATTTGATGTTAAAAAATATTAACAAGTTGATGGTAAGAACATGAACTTTGGTTTATGACTTATATTTAGCAACTTGGATTGTCTTTGAAAACGATTATTTTTGTGTTTTTTTTTTTGTTGTATGTAACTTGCATTATAATGAACTATTTATAGTATTCACTTTTTGTTTCAATAGTTAAGAATTATTCTGTATTAACGAAACTAGAAAAATGACGTAACTGGGTTACCTCCTCAAGGAACCGGAATCGCCGGTTCTGGGACTCGTTCCAAAAATTTAAGAACCGCGTAGACCGATTTTGATCCTGATTCTTGGTTCTAACTTCACATTCTTGGTTTTAACTTCACAGGAACCGTCGGTTCCAATTCCGACGAAATGAGGCGATCATAATAGACACCAACTAAACTCCAAATGGAAGGATAAGCAGACAAAAGTAAACTAGTTCAATTGCATCTACTAGGGATGAGCATAGGTGGGTACTTATGTCCACCACCACGCATTCGCAACTTTTATGTCCACCACCGAGTCCTAAAATGCATCAAACTGTTGATGATTGCCTTTTTTTATAGTCCACCAAATTGATACACTTTGGCTAACGCTACTTCCTCTATTTGATCCACAATTAACGTTTCAACCATTGCATAAAATTTCTCGTCACGGTTGAGCTCGTCATTATGATGGGGCTTGGGTTTCGTCTAACTCATAATTTTGGTTTTCAGATGGGGGTTGGGTTTCGTCGCTAGATTCTTCGTTTACAGACTCACGAAATGTGAAGTGTCGAGAATATAGACTCTCATTTGGTGATAAACTTAAACCTTGGTTGTAGACTTGAAAACCTTAAAATTGGTTATAGGTTTGATGGATTTGAATATAAGGATATTGTTGGATTTGAAAAAACCGGTGTTGGGATTGAAACTGATTTTGATAATTTCTCATTGGCATGTGGCTTTCGGGAATCATATTTGGTATTGGCATTTGGGTATCGATTTCGAGCAGACAATTTCTTCTTGGAGTAGCACCGGTTTTTTTGGATTTGCCTCGACTCAAATCCATTGGAATTGATTTTGAAAGTATAGAATTGAAATGGAAAAGAGTAGAAAGGTGTTGTAATTTATTATTATTATTTTGAAATCTAGTCATTACCCAACGGCTTCCACAACTTGGTGAACCCGCCCAAGCCGACGTCACCGAACCCACTGGAACAAGCAAACGGCGGTACCACAGCCCGCCAACGTGGGTGACAAAATCCAACGACCCCATGCACCCTAATAATAATAATAATAAGTTTCTACTAAAAAGTTATTTTCCTAGCACCTAGCCCACACCCGCCCAAAAAGCATAATGTGATATGTAAATCAGGTACACAATGGCTCCACCCCCACTAGAATGTTTTGATGAATTTTGGTATCAAGAATATCACGTAATCATGGATTATAGATTATCATGTATATTAATAACTTATGAGAAATGAGACTCACGTAGTTCATCAAAGGAAATACTGGTCATGCTTTCTCCTGATCTCACAAGACGAATCTTTCCTGCATGATTATGCACCACTTTTAGACAATTAAGCAGAACAATTTGAAATTTTAGATTCACTCCACATACAGCATTTATTGTTTTTTGCTATTCACTTGCTAGTTACTTAAGTGTACTTTCGTGTCACTTTATTAACTATATCACATGTAATATGTTCGCCTTTTAAGTTGTTTATAAGTTGTATTGCAATAAAATGGCATACCTTCACACCAGACCTTACTTTTGGGTTACCTACTAGATCCTCATAAATTACATCTTTATGAAAATGCCAAAAAATAAATTTGGAAAAATATTCTTCATACTTTTCTTGGTGATTGCATTTGGTTAAGACAAATTAAATATCCTCCTACTTTTATTCCTACCCATGTGAAATAATGACAAGTGTTTTAAAATGTTATTAATTTTATCAAAATGTGACACAGATACTAATTCAAGAAAAAAAGCTCTTAATGACGTCTATATTGACTATAAATACAATAAATACTACATCATTTAGAGTTTTTCAAAAAATGTTTTTTACCATCACGACGAATGCAGATCTCGGGTATATTTTTTACTTCACCATTAATACTGTCATTGTAAACTCTTGTTTCAATATCACCCTCTACATAAACTGAAGAGCTGCAAAAAAAAAAAAAAAAAATGTTTCCATATCAGGAGAAAAAATAAAGATGTAAACACTCATCAATCAAGAAAGTCTAGCTCACCAAATTTTGGTGAGAGGCTAAATGCAAGAAATAGAAAAAAGAAAAAAGAAACTAGGATGCTATAATAAAGAAATGAATGAAAGTATGTTGCTATTTTTTGTATTTGATTCTTTTGGTAAATATATAAACATACTTTTTGGCAAGTTGTTGAACTGCATAAGCACCAAGCGTGTCATTGTGTACAGCAATACGATGCCATTGAGCTGGTTTTGGCAAGTCTTTGGCTCCAATTGTTCTTTGATCAAACATTCCTCCAGTTCCAACAGTAAAAATGGTGACAGTTCTACCATTCCTCAAGATCTTTTGCAGAGGTGCTTGCCCAACTTTTCCACATAAAATCGCCTGTCAATTCACAAATTAGTAAAACTAATTAGGTTTTCATGTATGTTTATCTTCCATTCCATGTCAAATATATAAATCATGAAGTAGTTTCATTTATTGCTTTGGTTCTAGACTTATATACACATATATAAACACAAACAAACATATATATATATATATATATATATATATATATATATATATATATATATATATATATAGATCATAGATGTAGTCTCGTATATAAACAAAGGGATCAGATGTTAAAGCCGTACTATGCGTACCTTATGCACACCACGAAACCCCCAACCCTTTCTGGGATCAACTCCTTGCATTTGTAACTCCGGCTTTTGGGGAAGGAAATCATCATCGTCGATTGTATCAGCTGGATTACTATCTGCCTCATCAGCACTGTCGAACGGAGCAGAAGATGAGTAAAACTTCTTCCAGATTCCTTGGGCGCCCACTGCTGCATAAGCAATGCGTCGTTACGCATGTTCCAAAAAAAAAGACTCATCGATTCTAAATGATGATCTCATGTACTACTAGGGATTTTGCACACCATTTGATTGCCAATGAAAGGAAAACCCAAGGTTTAGCCTTATCATTTCATTTAGGAAAATGAAAAACTAAAATAGAGAACATTCAATGAAAAAGATACCTAATGGAGGGCTGGATTGGGAAGGAATAGAGAAGCGTAACGATCTTGTGAGCTTCATAGCGAGTGAACTCATATTTTGCAGAACAGAGAAGTTGATTGAAGAGGGTTGAAGAAGGGTTTATGAATTCGTAGGGCGAGGGAAGCTCGGGAAACGGGTTCGGGTCGTTGCAACTAAAAAAAGAGTAAATTACAGGAATGGTCCCTATGGTTTGGGGTATTTTGCGTGTTTGGTCCTTGTTACGCCCTTAGTCCCTACTTTTTGTTTTTGTTACGTACTTGGTCCTTGTTTTACGTAAAAAATACTATTATTTAAATAGAAAAAAAATGTTGAGGTAGGTAAAATAAGATGAAATGGATGGAGCTGGGGTGTGTTTATTTAAATAAATAAATAACTCAAAAGGAAAATAGTCTTTTAGGTAAAACAGGAACCAAGCGCGTAACAAAAACAAATAGTATGGATCTTTCAAGTTAAGAAACAAATTAGAAGTCAAACGTACAAATTACTCTAAAACATAGGGACCATTCATGGAATTTACTCACTCTTCAACAAAACCTTTATCTGTTACAAAAATATTTGATTTTATTTAATTTTTTTGATTTATAACCTCTTAAGTTTAGTATGTTTTTTTTAAAATAAACCTAAACTTGTAAAAATTGTAAAACTAAGTTTTGAGTAAATTACACAAATGGTCCCTATGGTTTAAGGTAATTTGCATGTTTGGTCTCTAACTTATTTTTTAAACTTGGAATGTCCCTACTGTTTGTTTTTGTTACGCGTTTGGTCCCTTTATTATCTAAAAAGACTATTTTTCTCTTGATTTTTTAATTTATTTAAATAAACACACATCAACTTCACCCCTCTCAACTTACCTTACCTATCCCCATTACTTTTTCTTATTTAAATAATAGTGTTTTTAGGTAAGACAGTGACTAAATGTGTAACAAAAATAAACAATAGGGGTCAAGCGCGTAACAAAAACAAAATATTAGAGACTTTCTGAATTAAAAAAATAAGTAGGGACCAAACACGCAAATTACCCCAAACCATAGGGATCATTCATGTAATTTACTCTTAAATTTTTTTAACCAACATCATGAACCTAAAAAACATAATATAATAAATCCTCACATTTCTATCAAACTTAATATTTTTAAGTCATTTGGCCTTGTAAATATGTTTATATAAACTTGTCAAGCAAACCAACTTGATAAAAATCTATATAAAATTATTTCCAACTTGTAATTTACATAACAAATAACATGAATCTTTAATTTACCTTCCATTGTTTGCAGCATTTGTAACTCGGACTTGTGTTTTCTAGATACGTGGTATGATTTGAGCATTCCTACATTTGTGAGGGTCAAAAGTGTTTCACGGTGCTTACCCGGCGCAGCAGTTCTTCCATACCAACTTAGCTGTCCGGCGCTGCTATTGGCATAACAACCGGTACACCATAGGTTGGCCCAACCCAATCCTCTCGTACTAGGGTTGGCTCCTCGCAGTTCTCCCTTTAACACCAACGGTAGATAGGGTGAACTGGATCAACAATGTTTATTTTTCTTCTGTCAAACATGTGGTTTTTGAGTCTATAATTATGACCATGTGGTAGTTTTTTGGAACTTCCAGATGTTCTTTTTAATGGTTTTACTATTAGAATGAATTTATTAATTGATAGATTGATTGACTTCTTATAATTGAATTGCACTTAGAAATAGAAAAATTAGTGTTAGTTGGTTGTCTTGGAGATTAAACCCCTATTCCTTTGTAATTTTTTGTTAGCCTTGCGCTAACCTCTTTTTAATATATCCAGCCGTTAGGAAAAAAAAAAAAAAAAAAAAAAAAAAAAAAAAAAAAATTCAATAAAACTTTTTCCAAACTAAAAAGTTGCTAGAAATTTAAGTATCCCAAACAAAGACTTACATGGTGATTTTGGAGTTGTTTAGGTTTTTGAACAATTCTATTGTATTTCTAATTTTATGTAAACTCTATATGTAGACGAATACTATACACAAAATTCTTTATAAATACTAAATAGAGGATAAAACAAAGTAACAAGTGTGACTGCAATGCAAGCAAGAACCAAATAAAAGAAAAGAATACCCACCATCAAAAACTTTGGGAAATAAAACGATCTTCACATAACTCTCTCCCTCTCCCTCTCCCTCTCCCTCTCTCTCTCTCTCTCTTAACTCTACCCATACTTCAAAAAGAATATCTATCGCCCCATTCTACTCAAAAACCAAACTCTCACCGTGAAAACCTAGATGAAGACCAACTCTTTCCTCCTCCACCACCAAATGAAGACGGCCGCCACTTGTCGCTCGGTGGAGCCGTCTCACGCTCCTCCTGCTTCCCACTCCCCCACCTATCAGGCTGTGCCGTCGCTGTCTCTGCCGCCCCACCTCTACGGAACCTGGGGACGTATTTCCCACCACCAGATCCTCCGCCAGCTGCAGCTGGTGCTGCTGCCGCTGCTGCCGGAGCGGAAACTCCAGCAGCCGGAAGCTCAGAGGGCCTGGTTGGGCCATCAAGTGGTGGTGGTGTACCACGTAAGATAGCTTCCTTTCTGAGCCTCTCTCTTTCTTCCAGTTCTTGTTCTCTTTTCCTTTGTCTTTCAGCTATTTCATCCAACTTTGCCCTCCTCTCAGCCTCCTCTTTCTTCCGCTTTTCAGCCTCTGTATACATATTACACGACATGAATAAATTACATTTTTGGTCCCTGAATAGTCGTTTTACTTTGAACAAAGGGACCATAATTGAAAAAAAAAGCATCTCCAGGACCTAAAATGTAATTTAATCTTATAAATAAATAAAGTTACCTTCACGTTTACGGGTTTCTTCTTCCTCAAGCAACCTGTCGAGCCTTTCCTTTTCAGTTTTCAAATAAAACAACATTTTCCTTTTTAAGTCCCTTTCCTCTTTTCGTGCCTTGAGGATTTGACCAATTCTTTCCTCTCTCTCAGCTTTCATTCTATCAAACTCTGCCTGTCGGCTCCTCACAACTCTTTCTTCAAGTTCCATCTGCACAACATATTTTTTTTAACAAATTTAAAATAATAATAATAAAATGTTAGTATTCAAAAATACATTACATACCTTATGTTCCATAACACGAGCAAGTCTATACTTCTCCTTCAGATCTCCCTCATGACGCTCTCTGCTCAACTCAACCTCAAGCTGCATATGTAAAGACGGTTAGGGGCATTTACGTCTTTTTTTCTTTTCACAAAGTATATAGTAAGTACCTGTTGGTCGCGTTCATGGCGGAGTTTCTCTTCAGCTAAACATCTTTGGAAAGCAGCTTCGATGAGAGGTGCAGCTTCTTCCCTTTTTGCCCTTTCAAAGTGATCCATAGTCTTGATTAGTTTTTGCATCTTCTTTTCCATTTCCTGCCTCTCTCTAACTTGCTCCTGCATTGCTAGCTCCATCAATGACTGCTTTGTCACCTTCTCCTGTCAACCGAAAAGCCATCCATCCATGATCAACTCAACTTGGTCAACATTAAAAAAAAAAAAGGGGGAGAATAGAATTTTCCAAATTTACCCCTTCAATGATGGGCTTCTTTCCTTTCTTTTTGATACGTTTCCCTACATCATTGAGCAATGCTTGTGCTTCTTCACGCTCACGTTCCTCAATCTCCCTAAGGATTCGTTGGTGCTTCCTTTCTTCAAATTCAGATGCAAGTCTTTTTTGTTCTGCTTCTTCGGTTTTCTTCTGTAGCTTTATTCTTTTTGTCTCCTCTTCTCGTTCCTTTGAAAAAACAGAAATTTAGGGTTTAGAAAAAGGGGTAAAAATGTAATTTAGACAAAGGAGAAATGAATAATACCATTTCAAGAAGGTGTCGTTCTTGTTCTTCTTTTCGTTTTTCAATGATGGATTTACGAGCAAGAAGCTTTTTGTGCTCTTTATCTACAATATCTGCCAAGCTTGGTAGCATAGCACTCAATTTTGATGCTTTGGATTGAGAAGGGTATATTAGGGACCTTGATTTATTCAGATTTATAGCCAAAACACTCAAGTGGTCTTGTAGAATGTCAGACTCAAAACCCTTCAAATAACAAGAAAACAAGGTTAGTATAGAAAGAACAGAACCAAAAAAATTATGAAAGAAAAAAAAAACGAATATGACTTCTTACCAAATCACCAAAAATGATTGCACCCTTCATGTGGTCAACTTTCATAGCAATGAAATTATGCTTCACAGCATCAACAGAGATCCTCTCTACAGCTGAGAAGTCAAAGAAAGGAACCATTTTTGATAAAGTCTCAACTTTCATTGTTTGGTATACTTGCGACACCTGAAAAAGAAAATATTAACCTTCAACTTATTTTTCATAGAAAGCGAATCAAAAAAGTAGTCTAAAAGTTTATTATTTATCACTTTTAAAAAAAAGTTTTCTAAAGAAACATTAACATTAACAAGAAAACCAGGAAATTTAAAAATACAAACCAACTATAGTAACTTTTGGGAAACAACAGTAAATACTTTATTTGAAGTTGTGAAGTTTTTAAAATGAGATAAGGTTTTGAATTTTTTACCTGTTGTAGTAGTCTTAAGGTTGCTACTTTTTCCAAAGCAGGAATATACTGAGAAAGCTGCACTTCTGGAACAGAAGAAGCTGATGATATTTTCCCCCCAAGTTTTGCAATCTTTGTCAACAATGGCTCTACTTTTGATGCCAAATCCAATGGCAGAAATTCATTTTCTAGAAGATTGTATAGATCCTTCACTTCTTGGGTTACATATGTCATCACCCCTTTAGAAACCTGAAAAAAAAAATCATTTCACATATATTATATACAGAAAAAAAAAAAAAAAAAAAAAAAAAAAAAAAAGATACAATATGATGCCATAATTGCATATATGTTCTCCAGGATGCCTTAATGATGAAAAAAATGGAAAGGATGATGCTGCAATAGATTTTCATCTATTGCATATTGAAAATTAGTCCTTATAAGAAAAATAATTAGAAGTATAATGTTTTATGAGACAAAAAGTAGGATGGTATAATAGACAAACAATGCAAGTATTCAAAATTTCTTGCATTCAGCTCTTTAAATTCCACAATGAGTAAAATGAACTTAATCTTACCAGATCTGCAAGAAGAGATGACCTAGAAAGCTGCAGGAAAATAAAA